TGTTAAGTCACAGAGAAGAAAAACTGCTCCTTGCATTGTTTTGGGGACCAATAAAGGATCTAGGCTCTTAGTTCTGTTCAGGCTGCAAGCCCCTCCTGGACCTCTCAATGAGAACAGAGGTTTAAAAACATGTGGTCTCCCAAAATAGACTTTGAGCAACCTGGTCCCTGCTCCACAGGCTCATGGCTCACAGATGGAGTCTACTGAGGGCATGAAGCATGCAGGATCACTGTAAGGGTCTGCGCCTCTGTATTAGGGAGTTTAGTCAACAGCAAGTTTTAGAGCCTCTAGTATCAGGGAGGGTTTGTTTTGTTTATTTGAAGGTTTTCATTCCTGCCCTCCAGAACTGCATTATCATTTTCTCTACAAAACTCAATAGGATCCAATGCACAAAAATATTTCAAACCAATGCTTGCTTAGTGTGTATGAGGCCATGGGTTCAGTCCCCAGCATTACAAAAAAAAAAAAAAAAAATCGAAAAGTAGCTCTTTTGACTCATTCCAAAAACAGGTTCAAAGATGTCTTCAGTCTGCTTTCTGTTGCTATAACAAAATATTCAAGTCTGGGTAATTTTTAAAGGAAAGAAATTGACAGATCAGCACTCTAGAGGTCCAAGAGCATGCTGCAGCCTCTGCTCAGCTTCTGGTAGGGCCACGTGCTGTTCCATGTAGGGGGTAAGGAAAGGGGGAGGCCGGGGCATGAGGAAGAGCAAAATGTGTGTGAGAGAGAAAAAGGGCAGGTGCCTAGCTGGCTTTGTAATGATCCACTCTCAGGATAACTAATCTTTTACAGAACAATATTACTCCTTCCACAAGGGTGGCACCTTCTCTTAAAGGACCACCACTTCTCAACACTATTACACAGGGAATTAAATGTCAACATGAGTTTTGGCAGGGATAAACCACAACCAATCACAGCAACAGACCTGTATTATAAAGAAACTGAGGCCTATTTCCTCATCACTTCACAGCCACAAACCTAGGGGCAGAGTGAAAACCCAGAGTTCACCACCATGCCCATTTCTCTAATCCTCCCCCAGCACCACCATTCTCTCTTTAAAATGCAGGAGGGCAGGGCTGGGGGTGGGGCTCAGTGGTGGACTGCTTGCCTGGCATGTGGCAGCCTGGGTTCAATTCCCAGAACTCTCAAAATCCAGGCGGGCAGCATTGCAGGAGAGAGCATAGACTGCAGGAGACAGCTGATTTAATTGCTAATGGTTTCTAAACAACAACATAGCTCAGAGATAAAGAACCCCTGGTTTCAATCTCCAGTAACCATGCCCTCCCAGCAAAAAATAATCATTCCTGTCAACCAAAACTAGTATGTTGTTGTTATTTTTAGCAGACATAAGGGATTCCTTTTAAAAAGCAATTTCATCAGGAGATGATATGGTCAATACCAAGTCACGGACTAGATTTTCATCATCTGTGGACCCACCCACTCACCCAACAATGACTTATCACATGCCCAACACACAGCAGGTGCTGAGGACTTGGTGATGAGCAGATGCACATGGCCTGGGCCCCTGACTCAACACACTCAGGAGGCTACCAACCTACCTGAAACATCTATAATGAAAGCATGAAATAAACTTGTAGTGTTTTACAATAACTAGTATTATCCTAATTCATACAGGCCCAGGGAGAAAATACAAGAGAAGAAAATAGATGGTTAAAGTTAGATTCCAATATACTTTCCTTTTCTAATCAGAACATTTGGGTCCTAAATTTAATATTAATGCTACTAAATGTTTTTTTTTTGTTGTTGTTTTTTGGGCACCCGGGATTGAACTCAGGGGCACTCTACCATTCAGCCACATCCCTAGCTCTATTTTTTTTTTTTTTTTTTTAATTTAGAGTCAGGGTCTCCCTGAGTTGCTTAGTGCTTTGCTTTTGCTGAGGCTAGCTTTGAACTTGTGATCCTTCTGCCTCAGACTCCCAAGCTACTGGGATTATAGGCCTGCACCACCAAACCTGGCTAAAGTGACATATTTTTAAAATGATTCCCAATAGTATGATCTTCCACTCAATAAAATTAATTAGCCCAAAGATCATCTGCATTTGAAATACTCAGCTTGCAACATACAACATGCCCTTCTAACCTAAAGTAGTACCCTCTTCTAAGAAGAGAATGGGTTTATCTAGGTTTCTAAAAACTGCCCTGCACATCAAATAAAAAAATTCAGGCTAAACTGTACTTTGCCTTATTAGCAATGAACCCATTCTAAATAAGTTAAGGCTAAGAATGAAAAAGAATTCCCAACAATCAGAGCCATCCAAAATCAATCATAAGACAGCCTAAGACAATTTGCTTGGATTACAGGTGTCATTCTATGAAAACATTAAAGTACTAGTTCTGTAAAAGGAAGATTCAAATGGGTTTATCCTGGACACAGCAAAATACCTTCTGCTATAGTTTGACCCTTCTAAAACTCATGTTGGAGTTTAATCCTCATTGTGAGACATTAGATATTAAGAGGGTGGAAACTTAATCTGATCATTGTATTTTAAGGTGGGGCCTTTAAGAGATAATTAGGATTAGATAAGGTTATGTAGTGGAGGTCCTACAAATGAACACTCATGGTTTTAAAAGAAAAGGGAGAGAGACCAGAGAATACACACACACACTCTCTCTCTCTCTCTCTCTCTCTCTCTCTCTCTCTCTCTCTCTCTCCTGCCAGGTGATGCCCTGTGCTGCCTTGGGACTCTGCCAGTAAGAACATCATCATCAGATGTGACCCCTCAACCCTAGGGCAGATCCGTGACCCAAAATAGACCTCTTTTCAACTTACCCAGTCTGTGGTAGTATGTGATTAACAACAGAATATGGACTAAGATACCTTCCTTAAAAGAAAAGGTTAGTCCTGCATGTTTCCACCAACCACTAACTGTGTGACCATGAATAAATAACTTAAATGGGCCTCCATTTCTTCATGAGCACATACCCTAACTGAATAGCATTGTGATGAGGATTGAGTAAGGTAATGAATGACCTAAGCCTAGCCCACTGAAGATGTTCAGCTCATAGTGTTGTTGCCTTTACTGTTCCAATGATCAGATTAAAGCACCTGAACTATTATTACAGCATGAAAATCCCACTCCAATGGCATCCTGTGGTTGTTGGTAAACCCCTGACATATAACAGTGATTGGATCAAATCTAAAGACTGGATTAAGATTAAAATCTTCCCAAGACAGGTAAGTGCTCAACCCAGTTTAAACTAAACGCCAGTCTAGGTAGTGGAATTAGTAGAAGCACCATTTTTCTTGGCAAAAGTTGGCACCAACTTACTTAGTGGGCATGTAAATCAGGTAGTCACAGCACCATCCTATCCAAAAAGCTGAGCCATGGTACATAATGAGTCACTTTGCTCTGCTTTCACTTCATATATTAATACTAAGCTTAAGGGTGTCACATCCTCGCCTCAACACCAGTTCTCTTAAAAAAGAAACAGTCTCATAACATATTGCCATGAGGAAGAAAGAAAAAAGGTCAGCTGCCTAATACACCATCCCATTAAATCAAAGACCCGCACACATGAGGAACTTTAAAAAGATGGCGACTAAGACTACATATCAAATAATTAATAATAATTCTCTCACGGGTGTGATAAAAAAATGTTTTTTAAAGAAATTCTCTGTGTATTTTTAAAATAATGTCCATGTATTTCCTTTGAGCAAGGAAAAAAGATTATGAAGTTTAAAAATAAAATAATAGCATTTTGGACCTGAAAGAGTTCTTCCCCTTGTGGGTTTTTTTTTTTTTTTTTTTTTTTGCAATGGAGAGAGATTGTGCTGCCACTTTTAGAGCATTCTTATTTACATACAGTGGAGGAAAAATCCTATTAGTTTAATAGGGAAATCAAACAAGCTTGGAACTTGAAAAACTAAAGGCTATAATCAATAAGGTCCAAAACAGAGTTCTTTTTGTTCTTCTATAATGCCAGGGCTTCTTGGGGCAGGTCCAGGCACAAACTTTCTGCAGAGGTGTCATGGGAAAAGCAAGAGGGCACACCAGGCTCCAAATCCTACCCCTGTTACTTAATTAAATAGCAAGAAACCTTGGACAAATAACCACCTCTCAGAGACTGTCTCCTCATGTGTAAAACTGCAAACAAAACAATTAGACAACTTTATACATCAGTGGACTCTAAACATTTTTTATTCTATATCCTATTTGTAAAAATATACATATAAATGTATATATGGAGAGACATGTATGTCTTTTTTTAAATATTTTTTTTCAGTTGCAGATAGACATAATACCTTTATTTAATTAATTTATTTGTTTTTATGCAGTGCTGAGGATCGAATCCAGTGCCTCACATGTGCTAGGCAAGCACTCTACCACTGAGCCACAACCCCAGCCCATCATCACATATGTCTTATAAACTATATAAGCTACAACTGCTTTTGTACTGTGTATGTTAATGAAACACATAAAATAAGCAGAAAAAATTCAATAATCAAATATATAAATATAAGTTCTGATAGACTCATCTTGTACCCTGATGGATCGTCTCAGGCACCTACAGAAGGCCCAGAGCCTGACACCTGACATGCATGGGGAGAAGTGACATCTCTTTCTCTAGCCCATGCCCTGCTGTGTACAGGAGAGAGGACAGCCAGCAAAGACCACCTGTGGATATTAATTTGTCTTTTCTCCCTCTCTGCCTTTTCTTGTAGTTCTAGGAGTCCAGAGTCTCAAGAATATTTAACCCTAAAAGACCCAGCTATAACAAAATCCTCCACAAGTAGCAAATCCCTGGCAAGTTTAGAGACTACTTTCTAGAGCCATGGAGATCTTTGAAAAACTACCTGGTACATCAGCAAAACTGAGCCAGAGTGAGATTTACCAGATGAGTGTCCTGGCTGTCTGAAGAGTGTCCCGAAACACTGTTTGGGTGAAAATCTTTAACAATTAGCCAAAACAGCGCGGTTGGCTATAGCGTAAGACTATGAAAGCACGTGTGTACCTGCTGGCGGCCCGGGAGAGGCTTACCTTCAGTATTTCAGGTTCTTTGATGTCCAGTGATCTTGTGTGCCAGTGTTGCAGATGTTTATGTGACTTGTGACATTTATGAGCACTTGGTGGTGTAAAAAACCAGATCATGCAAATTGCAGTCATGAATCCAAGGCCAATTCCCAGAAAGAGGCCGCTCATATAGTAGGGGAGGGGGAGGATGAGGTACGCATAGACACACATTATAAAGAAGCCCAGTGTCTTCATGGGCAATTCTGGGTGCTGCGTGGCCAAGTCCACCTCGTCCTCACTGTCTGGAGCCACCCCACCGTCTGCAAGCACCACTGGCTGCAGAGCGACATCTGGGGGCTTATCGGCTCTCCCCTCCCCCTCTGTTTCCAGGTCAAAGTCCTCGGTGTACAGTTCACAGAACTCCTCGTCTTCTTTGCTCACTAAGGCAGACAAAGAACACTTCTCAAGAACCAGTGAGCTGGTCTTCAGGCCCAAATCCTTCAGACTGCTCGTCTGGGAAACTCGCAGTTCTGCCTCTTTTGCAGGCTCTTCAGTGGTCTTTGGAAGGTCGCTCCTGGGGACATTGGAGTCACTGCTGTAACCGTCCCCCTCAGAGTCACATTCCTCCTCCTTGATGCTGTAGTTGTTATTGCTTTCCAAGTGCCCGTTCAAGCTGGACAGATTGGAGAGTTCTGAAGCACTTGAAGATAAGGCTTTGGGCCTATGGCTGCCACTTTCTTCCCCTATAATTTTACTAAGGAGCTGAAAAGGCTCATATATGACTTCTGAAAGGCGTCGTTTAGTGTCTTCGATTTTCGCCTCCATTTCGGGCACTTTAAAAAAGGAGCGAGTATCAGAAGGAGAAGTCAGCGGGGAAGAAGGTGCAGTTTTGGAGTCTCCACCTGTGTTTCGCGGCTGCGTGAACTGCTTGAACAGGTGTAAGTTCAATTTGGAGTCGGGGGGCTTATAGGACACAGATTCCGACTCCTGCCTGGAAGTGTCCGTGGACAGAGACTTGACTAATGTCTTCATCAAGTGCCTGTGCCTTGGGGGGTGTGAGGATTCTTTTGGCTCCACCTCAGTCGACAGGGACTTTACGAGGCTCATGAAGGGTTTTGCGCTGGAAAGGGTGGAGGATGAGGCACTGGATGAGAGGACAGGAGACTTGGAAGGAGAGGACAACGGGGAGGAAGAACTGGTTTTCTGCTCAGAAAGGGACGACACACTGGGAGAGCTAGCTAAGGGCCCTGACGAAGATGACCCTGGGGACAGAGCCAATGGCACTGTACTTAATACTTGCACTGCCGGAGCAGGGCACTCCAACAGCTTTACAGTGTTCTCAGAGATGGGCAAAATGGCAGGGGCCTGGAACCCAGACGGTCCATCTGCCAGGATAGGTGAGGTGGCAGGGCCCACGGGGTCATGACAACCTTGGGGTTCAAGGTAGAGGTCCTCCTTGGCTTCAAGCCCCGTTACAATGCTTTGGTCATCCAGTCCCTCTTTGAGATACTCCCGGAACTCCTCCTCCTCTTCCTCCTCCTCCTCCCCGGATGCCGAGAAGTGAATGGCGATGGTGTCTCGGGACACGGACCTCTGCACGTGCACTTTGGGGGCTGATGGTTTTGGCATGTCAATGGTTTTCTCGGCATGGCGACCATTCAGACTTGTCATTGCCAGCTTCACTAGGGCTCAGGCTCTGTGAAAACAGTGAGAAAAACAGAAATCAGGGAGCGTTCTCTCTAAGGAGACACTGCCATTTGTGGATGGCGAGCCCAGATGAAGCTCAGTTTAAATGGTGATCATTCTTTTATTTGGCAGACATCCACTGCTTTTCATTTCAGCAGGTTAATGGCTTAATTTTCACTAGATTAATTTTAGTTAGGCATTCTCTTTTATAAGCAAACCACGCTAGTATTATAAATGCCACACAATCTGTCTTACTTCACAACATCTGAATAACTGCTTCCTCCTTTTTACTGGCTCCTTTCTATCAGCAATTCTCTACTATGAGGCTTGAGATACTGGAACAATAGATGTTACCAGTATCCAGAAGCAAATGCAGCATCCTGGGGATTTTAATGACCTTGGAACAAAAATTTCACCAGTGGTTGTCTGGCTGTAAAGAGCTAGCCCAGGGTGGGTATTGCTTCCCCTTCAATTTTCACTGTGATTCTAACAATTATTTGGCTTGTGGCTGCCAACACTGTGCCATCTTGCCATTACAAGTAAGTGGCAAAGTTTCCAAGTGTGGAAATCTGTAAACTAATCACACCATGATTGGCTTCTTTATCTTCCAAATGATAGGCACCATAAGACCAAGGTATTTAGGAGGCCATGAAGACATGAGGCTTCAGAATAAAGCAAACATCTATTTTAAACTGAATCTATTATTCAAATGGCAGAAAAATTAAGTATTGATTCTATAGCCTATCACCAAACAAGAACTTTACCAAGGAGTGCAGTGAGACACACCTTCACCAGGCTCTCTGCCCTTTTGGTGCTAAGCAGTTAACTGGAAAGAAACAGACACCTGGAGAGTTGGGCATCAAAATACAAGACACTAAACCACCTCCCGACATCTGGTACATTTTACCTCTCCTTATTCACTTTCAACCTGCTACAGTTTGGATCTTAAATATCTCACAAAGGCTCCTGTGTTGAAGGCTTAGTCCCCAGCACAGCAGTATTCAGTTGTGGGGCTTTGAGGAAATGACTGGATCACGAGGGATCTGACTTCATAAATAAATTAATCCACTTATGGATTCATAGCTTAATGGATTTGGTGGGAGGGGCTTTGCTATAAAAGCAACTTCTTGGCTGCCATGAGATGACAGCTTTACTCTACCACATGCTCCCCATCATAATGTTCTGCCTCGCCACAGGCTCAGAGACAGAAGAGCCTAGGGGCCATGGACTGAAGCCTCTGAAACCAGGGGCCAAAAATAAATCTTTTCTCCTCTAATTTGATTTTCTCCGGTATTTTGTCATAGCAACAGAAAGCTAACTTAACACATGGCCCATTTACTAAGCACTACACATTTTATCAGGCCTCTCAAGATGGAAATTAATGCCACATTATGGACAGAGACACCATCAAAAGAGCTACAACCTAAGGCAGACTTCAGGAGTTCTGAGGAAAGCAAGGCAGTGTGCAGGGGAGGTAAGACACTCCCTCAGTCTTCTAAACTGATAGATGGGTGGTGGCAGAATTAGGAGAAAAGAAGGGATAAGGGCATGAAGATGAACATAGGCACCGTGTGGTCAGCCACCAGCATGTGTTGTCTGTCTCCAGGACAGGGAGTGGATGTTGGGGGTCAGGAGGAGATCATGGGTATGAGAGAGGCATCATGGGTGAGCAGAAAGAGCATCTGTCTTGGGACCAGGCAACAGGGCTTCTGGTACTTGTTCCTTTCCCAGCTGAATCTATGGGGGCTTGAACAAACCAAGATCTCACTGTATAAAACCCAGCACAGTACACGGATAAGTTATCTGCCACAGATTATCAACATTTTATTGCTTGTTTGTTCCTTTAATTTGAAGAGCTTCCACATTTAAGTCTTCTGCCACATATTCCTGTTCAAAGTTCTGGCACTTGATACCACTATCAAGAGAAAACAGAAGCCTTGGTGGGTGCAGAGGTGGAAACAATGACCCTGGATCATTAGAGTGTGGAAATTCTCTGGCAAGGACAAGAACACAGTGCCAGGGCACAGTCACAATGTGGACACGTCTGAAATTATACACTTTTAGTATCAAATACTTGACAGAAATCTTTTTTCTAAAAACTTTCCAGCCAAGTTTTGCACATGTTCATTCCAGACCCTCTGGCTCCCCTCTGCTTGTTGAACTCAGGAAAACAGAACAATCACCATCAACAAGATGAAGCAATTTAAATGAGGGAACTGGCAGCAGCTAGGAAAACAGCCTCGGGTCCAGGACAATCCTTCCCTTAAATGTATGCCAACAGGTTTGAAGGCTTGCGAAGGACAACAATACCAGGAGCAACACAGTTTTCCTTTAACTGTCACCTAGTTTTACAAGGGTAATTTTAAAAGAAAATTATGGAGGTAATTCAAAAAGAAAGTTTGGCACTTGATAATTCCCAGTAAATTGCTTTAATAACATAAAGGACAATGTGGAAGGCTCTGTTGTTCAGAGGCTGCTTCAATGTGGGCAATGGCTGCCAAGCGAAGCCAACTCTGTCAAGTGCAAAGCACTGTGAGGCTGAAGAGTGTGAGCTGGTCCACTGGGAAGCACTGCAAGAACGAAGAGGCCCATTTGCAATTTGAGGGTGGGTGACCTGGGAATCAAGGCCCAAGTCAGTCCAGCCCAAGGTTACAGGGTGAAAACAGCTGTGTGTCCAGGAGGCTGTGGTCTCAGCAGGCAGGCAAGGCCCCAGGGGAAAGGCGGCACAAAGGCTGTTATTTTGTGTGCAAAGGCCACCAGGGGCCTATTTGCCTAAACCCGTCCCACATAATCAGGGATGCCCTGGCCTGCCAGATCTCTAACCAGTCTCAAGGTCTGTGTCCACCAACAGGGCCTGATGGGGACAGGCAGTCTGGTTCACCATGGTTCCTACTATCTTTCTCCAGGCCTTCAGCAGCAGCTTCAGAGGTTCACACTGACCAAAGCTGACTACACTTCCTTCTTTTTTACTAAAACCAGCCACATGAGGCCAGAGTATCACTCTTCAAATACATGAAAACCTCCGAGCCTCTGTTTACTTATCTGCAAAATGAGGCTGCTTCTAGGATCAAAATTGCTGGATCACTGAGGGTACTGGAACTTGAGTCCATGGCATGGTCTCCAGACAACCCTCAGATGGTCTCCTCCTCTCAATCCTCCCAACAGCTGGTTCCCAGCCCTCCCGACAGTCAGTCCACAGGACAACAAGACCAAGTGGAAAGAGCCTATGACCAATGCCCTGGAAGATAATGTGGTTTATTCAAGGGCACATGGGCTTCCTGGATGCCCTGTCCACACAGCAAGCTGCTTCATCAAGCATGTTGTGCATGCTCCTTTTTCCTGCTCTTCCTGGTCATGGTACGTGCCCTCTGATAGCAGTCATGGATGGCTCCCCCCATGAGCTAAGGGCTCGGTTTTCAACCAGCAGCATGTGACCAGCTGCAGAGAAATGAAGGGCCTCATTATCCATCTGACAATCTAGCACCATAAAAAATGATGAGCCTTTTGTCCTTTGCTACCAAACTCAATTATGTCCAGACTCAAAAAAAGAAAAAAAGAGATAACCTTTTCAACCCCTCAGGAACTGGAGGCAATTTCCTTCCCAACATGTCTTTTTCCAAAGTTACCAGAAGACACCTTGGAGTTTAACACTGACCTCTGCATCTGGGGAGGGAACAATCTATAGCACATGTAGTCACTATGCTTCCCTAGAGACGATTTCCTGCCAGAGATGTGTGTAAGCATAAGTCTGATGTGATCACAGTAGTTGCTAAAGATTAATCATGTCTAGGCGCAGAAGGGATGGGGGTGGCAGAGGCAACATAGAAAACCAGGCCAGGCATTTGATGGCTGCGAGACAGGCTCCATTATCAGGCCCATCATTGTCCTGAATACAACACATGTTTTTTAAATCCTCTAAAAAGTTCTGAAGCTTTGGCAACTGAGCAAGGAATGACCAGGTAGAAACTAAGGAAAATAGTAATATTTTGCCTTCAAAGCATTAGCTGGTCAATGCTGGCAAAACGGCACTTTTACTTTAAAGGCCACCTGAGCAGAGATGGAAGTCCAGGGCTGGATAAGATGGAGCACTAACTGGAGACTCCTGAACAGAGCAGAGACCCCAAAGGGCTACATCCACTTGATAATTGGTGAACCCCACACAAATCAATCCTCATGTAGACTGGGTCTCCCCTGCCCACATTCATCCCTGGGAATGAACCTCCTTTGAGATGGTCTTGGACCAGGACTATCCCCAGGGCCTGGCAGAAGGGAATAGAAGTCATTTCCCTAGAAACATAGTCATGCCTAAGCCCTCAGGTTATTCCTACAAATACTGGCTCAAATGCAAGGAATGTAACAGGATGACAAGGAAACAAGGTACCTGAGGACCAGCAGAAATAAAGATGGTGGGGGGAAAAAAGACTTCAGATAACAGAATTATTGACAGAGACCAAATATTAAGTATGCTTCAAGGTAAGCTCAAAATATCTACTGGGAAAATTACAGGTAAGCAGACCCACTTGAAGGCTATTTTGGCAGACCAGAATGAGGTGAGAAATGCCTAAACTAGAGGGCTGGACATAGGATTAGAAAGAAAGGGACAGGGCTGGGGATGTGGCTCAAGTGGTAGCGCGCTCACCTAGCATGCGTGAGGCACTGGGTTTGATTCTCAGCACCACATAAAAATGAAATAAAGATATTGTGTCCACCTAAAAAAATAAATACTTAAAAAAAAAAAAGGGACAGATGAGAAGGAAGACAAAAAGAGGAACAACAGTCCAGATGAAGACTGGAGGGGAGGGGAGAACATGAAGAAGAATCTAGACTGTCTGAGTCTCTAAGCAATGAGGTATATGTATCTTCTGCAAGACAGGCAGGTAGATACTTATTTATGTAAGTATCCCCGCCCCCTCCCCCATGCCTCTCAATGACATCTGCATCTTTTTAAAAAATTTTAATGTTATTAGTTCTAATCAGTTATTCATATCAGCAGAAAGCTCTTTGATTCAG